GGTAAGTGACTACCGCCGCCCATGAACATCCGCAACACCAAGGGAATTGCAGGTATGTTGCCGGCCCATTAGAAAGGAGTAAGCTCTTTTCTTGAAGGTCCCTAGATCGTATCGGTTCGGAAAAATCGCCGGAGGTAAACTATTCCACAGAAAGGTCGTACGCGGAAGAAAACTCCTTGTGAAACGTACAGTGGTTGACCGCCAAGCATCCAGATGGTGTGGATAGTATCGGGAGGTTTGCCGCGTAGTGCGTTCATGAAATTTGTCGGCTGGAATTAATCCGAATAATTCCTCAGAGCACTCCCCCGTGATAGATGCGATAAAATACGCACGCGGTCGTTGAAAATCCGAGCCGCTCTGCGCTGGATGCGGTCAAGTGAAAGGAACTGGTACTGGAGAGCCCCAGCCCAGAGATGGGAACAGTATTCCATGTGCGGTCGAACCTGCGCCTTGTAAAGTTGCAGGCGGTGTGCCGGCATGAAATACTGTACCATTCTGCTGAGCACGCCAAGCTTTTAAGAGGCCAATTTGGCCTTCTCTTACAAGTGACCACGAAACTGTACGTCACTCGATATGTCGACGCCGAAGATCCCGATACTGGCTGTGGCAACAAGGGTAGTGCCTTGAAACTGAAGAGATATGACAAAGGGGTCCTTTTTAGCGGTTAACGCGCAAACTTGTGCCTTCTGAGGGTTAAACTGGACTAGATTTAGTCGCACCTACTCCCAGAGTTTGTTCAGCAAAGATTCGACTTCAGACACAAGTTTATCCCGGTACTCGGAGACGTTTAGAAATATTGGACGGACGGTGTACAGAGCATAAACAGTGCTGTCATCCGCATAGCAATGAATATTGCCGGTTTGCAACATATCATTGATATGCAGAAGAAACAGCGTTGGTGATAGCACGCAGCCTTGTGGAACACCAGCATTAATAGGCCTGAACATGAATACGCTTTTTGAGAGGAGATGGTGGAAAAGATTAGTAATCGGAGCTTGTACCGTCTACAACGACCTTGATGATCCGATCTGCAAGAAAGCTGGTGATTCAATGTACAATTTCTCGGGAGGCCCATAGGAAGGGAGCTTCGGAAGAAGCGCTTTGTGCCAAACCCGATCGAAGGCCTTTGTAATGTCCAAACTAACGGGCAATGCCTCACCCTTGGATTCTACTGCTGCCGCCCATCTATGAGTCAGGTAGACCATAAGATCACCAGCTGACCGACCACGACGAAAATCGTATTGGCAATCACTAATCAGCTGGTAATCAAGGTACCTCATGAGTTGACAGTTTACAATGGACTCCATTGTTTTGGAGAACAAGGAGATGATGGCAATGGGCCTGTAGTTGGACGGGTCTGAGCGGTCGCCTTTTTTAGGGATCGGGTGGACGAAAGCCGTCTTCTATGATTTTGAAACTACGCCTAGGGAGAAAGAGTACCGGAAAAGACGCGTTAATACCGGTGCCAACTATGGAGCACACGTCCTCAGCACCATTGGGGGAGACCCACTCGACTTGTGAATGTCCAGGGAGAGGAGTGCTTTGCGACCCGAACACTGTGTGAACCGCACCTCCGGCATGGAGCACTCACATCGCGGGATGGTCAGCGGCGTACTCCCCCCGTCATCAAGAGTCGAGTTGGACGCAAAGAAAGAGCCTAGCAGATCAGCTTTCTCCTTTGAGGCAAGGGCCAGTGAGTCTTCCTCCCTGTGCAAAGATGGAAGAGATAGCTGACAGAAATTCCCCTGGACAGCCTTGGCGAGAATCCAGAATGCATGGATTCCAGAAGGAAGGCGAACTAGTTTCTCGCCAATTCTGCCTATGTTTTCTGACTTTGCCTTGGTAGTGACTCTTTTAATGGACCTGGAAGCGGAATTATACTTCTTTTTTAGAGCACAGGTGTTTACATCCAGGATCATTGATGCGTCTGCCCAGGCTTAGTAGCACTCCTGCTTACATGATGCTATTTTACAGGAGCGACCAAACCATGGCTGAGATGTGCCTACGATGGGCACCACAGAGGAAGGAATAAAAGTTCCATACCCTGAAGTACCACATCAGCGACAGAATCCGCAACAACCTTGGGATCGTTCGGCGAGAAGCAAACCAGCCCCCAAGGGTAGGATGCAAAGAAAGACCGCATCCTATCCCAATCAGCTGACCTATAGTGCCAAACACGGCGGCAGCCTGCAGAATGCAACCGCGATTTCAGCGTGAGTGGCACCACACTCCGGACAAGACAATGCTCCGAGGAGCCTAAAGGGGCGTCGACAGAAATCTGATATCCGTCCGGATGAGAAGTGGTCGGTGGAAGTGGCAGTGGACTTTTGTCCCAACCTAGGATTCGAAGCTAATCATGATCAGCGGTCGCGTTTATAACCGTTATTCCAAGGAGGCAGTCGCAGAGACGTTTAGTACTTCGATCGTGAATATGCCAAGGCCATCTCTGCTATTTAGACTATATTTTATCTAAAAATCTCGGGGAATGTCTCTGTTTTGTAAATTCGAAAATATAAAATTACATCAAATTATTACAATTAACCCAGACGAAGCAGGGGCGCATTGCTAGTATATGATATATACTCAGGTGGTTAGAAATCGGTATCTACAAAGATTTACGTACACAACAAAAAAGAAGTTCAATTAACTCTTCTCATTTAAAATTCACCCCAATACCCTTCAGCCCGAGAGGTAGTCAAGCGAGTTTCCGACACTTTACTGCTAAAGTTTGAAAAAGTAATTAGTCTGTTACATTTTCTTAAGAAATAATCCTTTCAAAAAGGGAAATTCGACTACCTGGAAAAAAATTATAGGGTCTTAACCCAAATTAACTACCTAAGCTTAAAAATGTCATCTGGGGTAGAAATACTACGAATCAACATGAAAAAATAAAATTAAATAAAAGTAATTTTTGAGTAACTTTTAAGTGGATTCAACATTTTGAGGTTTTTTGAGGTAACAACTAGAATGTCGTTTAAAACTATTCAAACGACATTCTAGTTGACGACATAAAAATTTCTTTCCTTATTTTTCGAATTTCAGGTTGAATTTTCATTTGTCAATTAATCTTATATTAATTTTATACGTGGTAGAGCCATGCTGCAGTTATATTAGATGTATAGTTGTAGCACGAATGGGTCGTCTCAACCGGGGAGGACCACGCTCTCACAGAATATCAGCGTGAAATAGTAGCTTAATACTGCTGTATTTCGTATGGTGAGTGTAGAGAACCGGAGACCCTTTTTACTGGAAACGAGGCATTCCATCTTAGTCCTCACGGGTGACAACGCATTTGCATTTTGATTCGTAATCGAGGTTAGATGTAGATGTCTATGGGCCACAGCAACCACTTACCATCAGGTGGACTGTGTGCTCGTTTGTCACCCTATCCTATTAAAAAAATCTACAATTAAAACTTTTTCCAATATTCTAGCGTCAATTTAAACGGAATTATTTTTGAGGTTTAGTTAATTACATAGAAGATTAAATAAATTTGGTAAATAGTAATATTGCATTCATAATTTGAATATTAGTTAATATCAAGTTATTTTGAAGTAAACACGAATAATGTTAATTAATTTATTTTATATTTCATGTTTTATTATGTTTTCCTACACAACGTTTATTGGTTTTCTAAAAAATGTCTATGATTATGCCTATTAAAAAGTTATAAAAATCGATTTAAATTTGGCGAAGATATCGCATTGATTGCTACGAGTATTACACAAAAATACAATACGAATCAGAAATTTCTTTTTTTTATTTGGCTCAAAAAATAAATTATCACCATATATATCGATGGCCTCAACGAATAAACGTGCAAGAGCTCTTATCCAAATTCTTTTTCGTATTTTTCGTTTGCTTGGCCTATTATACACCTATATTTTTTTTGAATATTTTAAACTTCGAATAAGCCTTTTATAGCACAATATTCCTTTATTGAACGGAAAAAAATATTTACATATCACATGAATAATAAAACATTTATTATTGCCGATTATTAGTTTATTTGAGTTCACCAGAATAAACGTGTTAAATTAATCTGCCGCTCGTGTCTATCCTTTCCTTTGGGTAATAACTCTTGCACGATTTTTCGTGTAAAAACGCAAGCGACTTTTATCAGTAATGCCTCATTGCAGGCGGCAAAACTTTGAATATAATAATTACAGCTATGCTATTGTCTTTTAACATTTTCTCTTGTTTTTTCTACTTTTGTAAAGGTTTAAGCCTAATATTATGCGATCATGAATTTGAAGTTTTTGTTAGTAACCGTTTAATAAACGGATACGGATACTTTTGTAAGTAAAAGGATACACACTTTAATCAATGGAAATTGGATTCTTATTATTCTTTCCCTTTATAACAGGTGGTACCATGTTATGTGGACTCCGACAACCTTTTTTAGTTAAATGTAATAAGAACGAAAATCACCTGACACAGGCACCGCGCGGCGGTTGCCTATTATTTAGCTAATTTATTGTCTTATGTATTATGTAACTGTTCTCTTTAGAAGGATTATTTGCTTTTACAGGCTCAGCTGATATTGTATCGAGTAAACATTTTTTGATCCATGTTAAGTACTTTTTTTTCAGACAATGTTATTAATGAAGATGACAGTAGTATGTCTTTGGTTGTTGGTTAGATATATAATATATATATATATATATATATATATATATATATATATATATATATATATATATATATATATATACTCAAAACTTACCAAGGGCTGCGTGGGGGTGAGAGGCTGAGTAGTAATGTAGTCATTTGAGTAATTTGTTTCAGAAAATTTCACATATCTTTCGCGAAGTTCTTTCCCCATTGATGGCATATCAGATCTCAAAGAAGTCAACTCAGAACCTGATGATTTTATTACACCGGCTCCATTAATAGTAGTAAATGTATCTCCACATGATAATAATACCTCACCACCAAATGTACCAACAAATGACATTTTAGATATTTCTCATAATGTTATTGAATCATTACTACCTGAAATGGAATACCCTACTCCACTGCAATCTGTAAATAATAATGATGATTTACAGACTACTGATAATTCTATTGCTATGACTCCATCAACCCAACAAAAATTAGATTTTATAGCTACGCCGATTGTTTTATACATTAATAATGATTACGATCTAAGAAATATTTCCGACTTAGAGGGTTTTTTACATAGTATTGAAACACAAAATATATCACAGGATATTGTAACTACAGAATCGGAGGAAAGACCCGTCACTCCTATAGAACCGCTTACGAAAAAGAGTAAAATAGATCCTAATTTATGGAAAGATCGCAAAAATAAAACTCTTAAAAATCTGGTAAAAGTTATGAAAGTGTTAGAACTTAAAAGCAAAACGTAGAAAAATCCATAGGTCCACCATGCAACTGCATACTGAAATGTTACGAAAAGATACAGCAAAATATGAGGAGTAAAATTTTTCAAAATTTTTGAGCTATCGGGGACTACGAAAGACAGTGGGATTTTATTAAACGCCATGTAAAAAAAGAAAACGTCAAAAAAATTACAGTTGAACGTAAAAATAATCGTACTCAAACATTAATATATCAACTATTCGATGATACTAATTCCATGATTAAAGTTTGTAAAACTATGTTTTTAAGTACCTTGTATATTGCATAGCAAGTAGTATACACAGCTATTGATAAATTGGGAGATGACCATTATTTAAAAGATTACAGAGGAACTCATAAGAATAGGCCAAGAAGAATGTCAGAGGAGACTGAGAAAAGTATAATTGACCATATAAATCCATTTGAAAGAGTTGAATCACACTGTACTCGCAAAGATAGTCAAAAGCAATATCTGTGTGAAACATTGAACGTCTCTAAAACACACCGACTATATTTAGAATGGATAGATACAAACCACCAGTACAATCAAACATGCAAAGCAACTAAACGGCAGTATGAAATAATATTTAATACGAAGTTTAACATATCCTTTCACAAACCTAAAAAAGATTTATGTGAAATATGTTCAATTTACCAAACTTCTGATGATGTTAGAAAATAACAGTTAAAAGCTGACTATGAAAAGCACTTGAAAGGAAAATAAATAGTAAGGATTAAAGGAACAAGAAAAGGAAAAATTTTGTTCAGGTGACAGTGTTGTAGCATGTTTTGATCTGGAAAAAGTGTTAAATATCCCCCAAAGTGAAGTAGGCATATTTCATTTTAAACGAAATTATCCCCTATACAATTTCACGATTTATAATATCTTAGAGAAGAAAGGTTACTGCTACGTCTGGCATTGTCAAATTGCGAAAAGGGGTGCGATAGAAATAGCTAGTTGTCTTTGGTCATTTATCCAGGCACACGTTGAATTAGGAATAAAAAACATATCCTTTTATTCTGATTCATGCGCAGGCCAAAATCGTAATCGTTTCGTATTCGCCATGCTTTCTTTAGCGGCGAAGAAATACAACATAAAAATAACACAGGTTTTTGGAGAAAGTTCATAGCCAATCGGAGGGCGATTCTATGCATGCTGCTATTGAGCGTTCTACGAAAAAAAAAAAGCAAGTTGTTGTATTGACACAGATTATTAATTGGACGATTTAAAATATTTATCTTCTTGTCATACTATCTACACACCTGATCAAATGTATTCCTTGATAGAGAATGCCAAAGTTACCGGGCTATAAGTATCAAGTAAAACAAATGACGCAAGCTGATTTCATAGATTTTAAAGAATTAATTAAAAGGAAGAATTGGTTAAAAGATACAGATGGTAATAAAATTTACTGGAGCAAAATTAAGGAAGTAGTTTTTCCTTATAATCAACCTGATACAGTTTACTTTAGATACAGTTTTGAAGACGAATTAAAAGAGATGCAAGCTATTACGAGGACTAACTCACGAAGGCGACGAGGGGAACCTATAGAACACGCTGAAGACCTAAAACTCGCATACACTGGAATGCTGCCCGTACCTCTTCCTTTATATAGAGATTTAATAAGTCTGTGTGACTCGGGAGCCATAGCAAACCATTACCAGTGTTTTTACAGAAATCTAGTGCCATTAAATTCCACCTCAGTTACCAACGATAGTGACGAGGAGAATTATTAGTAACCACTTATTAGTTGTTTTCTGTTAGATTTTTCTTGTTTTTGTTTTAGTAATAATATACTTGATAAGTACCTACTTCGTTCTAAATTGGATAAATAAATAGTAATTATTCTTATTAACAATATTTTTTATTGAACCTTCAACAAAAAAATAGCTAATTTACATTATATACCATGCACTAATAAAGTCGTATTACATAAATATTGAGTCGATCTTGTTAACACAAATATACGGGCCTTTATCTTTACAAATATGTAAAAGCGACAAAATATATAAGAATAAGTGTGTAGATGACCAGAGCAAGGCTCAGGGGAAAAAATATACATGGAATAACCATGCAACATTTCACTACACTTTTTTAAGCTTCATTTATGACACGAATAAACGTGCAGTGATACAATAATGTTAACAAGTCACATATTATTCACAAGAATAATAATTTAATACGGTTTTTCTTAAATAATGTAGTAAACCGATAATATTTCATTTATAATAAATATATGAGCTGAAAGATATATTTTTTACCTTTAATTTGATCACACATTATATTTGTCGATTTATTATGTAATTAAAGTTATGTGATTCCAAACTTTTTATATCTTCCTGAAAAGTTGTCGTTTTTCGATTGCACGTTTATTCGTTGGGGCCATCGATATATATAAATATAAAATATCTCGCGTTATCGACTAATTTGCTCCATAATGTATAAATGTTATTAATGCGTCCTGGTATGTTCTATTATAGGAGACCACAGACGAGAGGCTGCGCCATTTGTCTCGCTTAAAAGAAGTCGGAATGAAAATCGGATGCAAGAACTTACTCGGAAAAAAATTGAAAGATAAACACCAAAAATAGGTCAGACTTTTGGCCGGCTTTAGAGCTTGACCGACCGTCAGTGCGTACCGTCGGTCCCGACGATACGCATAACCGATCGTCAGTTTAGTAGTAGTAGCGTTCAGAGCTCTCCTGAGCAACGAAACTGGCCGGACTGGTACAGTCACAAATACGTACATGAAATGGACGCGTTAATTGTTTAAGTGCTGCTTACTATGTTCGTAAACGTATAAGGAACAGAAGACGTAGATATCAGGTTCACCCAAAGAGCGCTTCAAGGGGAATTTACTACTTTATATTCATTATTGCGCGAAAATGAAGAAAATTTTTTTAATTACTTTATAATGTCAATCAAAATTTTCTTCAAAAAAAAAGACAACTTAAAACATCCGCGAGGCGTTCGCTATCGACATATGCCATGTTTGATAAAAATTTCTTAAGTCACAACACTACTTAATACCTATAAAATCATACAATATTATTACAGTTTAGGTTTGATTTTCTTGACGATGATGCACGCATCCGTACGGTCGGTGTAGCACTGACACTGAACGCGTCAATATGATTCGTCGCATAGCGCGTCGGTCGACCGACGGTACGCATGTGGACGCGCTGGACCGACGGTCCTCGTATGCAGTGCGTAGCTACTAGCTTCATACGCGTGCGTACGGTCGGTCGGACACTGTAACGACTTGTGAATTTTCATACAAAAGGCAAGCGCGACCGACGTACGCACCGACGGTCGGTCGAGCTCTAAAACCGGCCTTAATGTTGTGGTCCGTAGGTGAACTTCAGTTATGTTTATATTTAACACTTGATCTAGAATAGTTGTATTTTTATAGAATAAGGGTGACAAGCGAGCACGAAGTCCATTTCTTTGTAAGTGGATACTTTGGTCATACAATTACATCACCCTCTATTAAGAATTAAAATGCAGATGCATTGTCACCCTTGAGGACTAAGATGGCATGTGTCATTTCCATTTAAAAGGGTATTTGGTTCTCTACACTCACCAAACTAAATACAGTGCCATTGAGCTGCTATTTTAAGCTGGTATTATGTTACATCGTGGTCTTTCCCTGGTCGGGCCATAGTGCTACAACCACAAAGAGAAGAGGCTACAGCATAGTACTTGATCGTAAATGAATTTGATTTGTTTGGGAAAACCAACACTGATACTAAAGTGAGACGAGTCGTGGCGAGCGATTTCCAATGGTGGCAAGGCACGTTAGGCAACCGTATAAACGTTGACGACACTTCCCTTCATACGCCAGCTAGGTGAGCGACAACTAGCAATGGCCAGGCTAGTTAAATGTGCTGTTTATACTCTTGCGCGCCACAGTTGATGGCACTAGCGCCATCTGGTATCAAGTATCAGAAATAGGAGTGTCAAGACCTTTCTATAACTCTCCCAACATCGCCATCTAGTATCGAATGGAAGAATTAAGCTTTCTAGAAAGCCCCACACTCGAACATTCTGCACCTGGTCGGTCGGGGCCCGTATTTACTGGAATATTCTGGATGTTTCGGTGGATAAGGCCTATTTAAAGCCGTTGAGGGTCGCGACAGGGGGCAGTATTGAATTGGCGATACGAGCGAATCTTTCGGAGTGAAATAAAGTGAACTAAAGTGTTAAGTTTAAGTGTTAAGTGTGATTAATTATTAGTGTGATTTAAGTTTTAATTAGTGTTCAGTAATTAAAGTGTCAATTTTGGTAATTCAATCGGCAGTTTTTATTGTCACGAACCCTAAGCTCGTAACAATACGTTGGTACTCGCATTCGCTCGGCAAGCGTTGATCAAAATGTAGCCGCTTAACATGTGCAGGTAGATCACACAAAGCAAGCAACAGGAGACCTTGGAAACCATATAATATCGATTTAACCAATACACAATATCCTAAAAAAATTTTTGGGCCAGAAAGGGATCTTGAAGGCAAAAGTGAATAGGTTTTTGTTACGTTAAGGCATTGCGATTTACCATCTAGGGCTACATCACCACTTACCATCAGGTAGGATTGTGGTCAAGCACTGATTTATAATAAATGAAACAAGTATGCTTGTACATCGCGAAGTTATGATTAATATACACAATAAATGTTAATCAAGTAAAAGATAGCAACTGCATAAATACTTTACTTTCATCTGCTGTGCGCGAGACACCACTCGTAGTGAAATGATTTTGGTACAGGAAAGTAACGGCTGCGCAGCCCCTATTGGGTTGACAGACTTCACATGTTTCCTCATACGTCTTCCTTCACTGCTGATAATTTGGTAAATCAGCTCTTCTGACAGCGGAGATCAAAACCGGGATTCACACGTACTGTGAAATTCACATTCCATAGTACTTGCTTGGTGTTGTTTGCATAATTTACGCAATTACATGTAAGTAGATGAAATTGTCCGCCAACTTGGATTAGCTGCGCGTGTATTCTTTTT